TGATGCTGCCCATGACTAAGACCTACTGCAAGAACTTATGGATTGCCTCTTAAGAGCTTGTCAGGCATTTGCTCTCAACATCAGCAAAAAGAAACCAGTTGTAGTAGGACAGGGAGTTCCACAAGATCCACCAATTAGCCTTAATGAGAACCAGCTAGCAGTAGTCCAAAAGTTCAGCTACCTAGGTTCCACAGTGACTACCAACCTTTCACTGAATGAAGAACTTCATGTTTGCATTGGAAAGGCTGCCACCACCTTCAGCAGACTAACTACAAGAGTATGGAACAACTCTAAGCTTACCACCAAGACCAAAATGCTAGTGTACAAAGCTTGCGTACTCAGCACTCTTATGTATAGTAGGGAAATATGGACAGCTTATGCACATCATCAAGAGAAAAGGTTAAACAGTTTCCACCTGTGCTGCTTATGCTACATACTCAACATCAAAAGGCAAGATAAAGTTACCAACGCAGAGGTTCTTCAAAGGGCAAATTTACCAAGTGTGGCAGCCCTACTCAAAACACAGATGACTGTGCTGGCTAGGCCATCTGAGCAGATCAGAAGATGGATGCATACCCAAGGACATGCTATACCAGAAGCTATTGGAGTGAACAAGACCAACAGGATGTCCCAAGCTTTGCTACAAAGACACATGATGCAAGTGAGATATGAAGGCATTTGGAATCGATCCTGACCAATAGGAAACCTTGGCAAGTGATCATAACAAGTGAGCGCATATGACAATTGTCAGCATACTGAAGATCAATAATGGAGGTGTTGGTTATCTTGGATTTGAAATGAACAAGTTGATATTAAAGAGATTCCTGTCCATGTGATACTGGATGCCGACTTCAGATGGTAGTCTAACAGATGTAGAATAGGTGTGATATAGATGGAGAAGACTGTAGATGCAATCACTCATCCTTGCTCGACTCCGGTTCTAATAGTGAAGGGGTCCACTTCCAAGCCATTGCTTAGGACAGTTGCTATGTCACCATGAAGCAGTCTGATAATGATAACAAGCTTTGGAAGGCATCCAAATCTCATCAGGTCCTTCCACAGGACCTCTCTGATGACTGAATCAAAAGGCCTTAGTCAAGTCAATGAGGGCCATGTAACAATATCAATGTTGCGTGCTTCTCCTGTAGCTGCCTAGCAAAGATCATATCTACCTCCGAGTGGTCTGAAACCACACTGGGACTTGGGTAGAATCTCCTCTGTGAGAGGAGTAAATCCATTGAGGAGAATGGGTGCAAGGATCTTCCCAGCTATGGACAGAAATGCAATACCACAATAATGGCTGCAATCCGATCCATCTCCTTTCTTGAAACAGTAACAATTCTGATATACCTGAAATTGCTGGGAATCTGTTCATATTTCCAGATTGTCATAATAACCATGTGTAGTTGGAGACAGCTTTTTTCACCTTGCTTACTTCAGCTCGTATTCCATCAGAAGCATGTGTTTTGTTGTTCTTCATTTATTTTTCAGCTTTCGAGGCCTCTTGCTAAGTCAGTAGATCTGCACAGTAGTCCTTCACGGGGTGTTGTGGAATGGCTTTGATGGTATTCCCTTTGACAGTAGTATCTCAGTTCAGGAGCTCTTGAAACTGGTCCTTCTACCAGTGGATAGTGGAGTTGTCTTTAACAAATGCTGTTCTATCCTTGGACCTCAGAGGGAGGGCTCCTTGTGTGCTTGGCCCCCTGGATAGCTTTAGCTGCATTAAAGAAGGTACTCAAGTTGCAGCTGTTGGCAAACTTCTGAATCTCTTCTTAGTTTTCCCACCACTTGCTCCTTAGGGTTTGGCCTTAATGTGGCAACAAGCATCTTGCTTCTGTTTGGAGTTGGTATCATTCTGACAAGCTTTGAAGGTTCTCCTTTTCCTGTCAAGGAGAGCTTCTATTTCCCTACCGTTCTCATTGAACCAGTCCTGGTGTTGCTTTGTGGTGTAACCTAGCAATTCTTTACATGCGCCACAGACACTCTCCCATGATCTTGATCATTAGGAAGGTTGGAGAGTTTCTCACTGAGGAACTACTGGAGATGATCACTTTTAACAGGGGCTTTCAAGCGCTCATTACTGAACATCTTCCTTGGTTGCTTCCTCCCCAGGATTGCAAACTTCATGTGGTCAAGAGGCTTGTGCACTACCAGTGAGCATGAAAGCAATGCTACGTGGAACTTTGTATTACTGGTAGGGTTGCCCATGGAAGCAAGGTGGAGAATAAGGTTTCCAGACTTATTGATTTTGATCGCTATTAAAGTCCTGGCAGAGCAGGAAGATGAAGAATGAACACTTATTATCAGTGCCTATGTCCTTAGACCAATACGGCTATAGCCTACACCCCTGTACTTATTATCACTGTAATACAACATGACAGAAATAGAAATGTAGGGCTGAAAGGGACCTTGGATGGTCATTAGTACAACACATTCCACTGAAGCAAGATCACGTAACCCTAGAACACCCCTTACAGATGTCTGACTTCTTAAAACTCTTCAACAGAGGGGATTTCACATCATCACTAAGTAGCTTGTCTCACTTTTACCCACCTAACAGTTGCTAAGTTCTCTTAATAGCTAAATCTAAATCACCATAGGTGCAAATAATCCTGATTTCTTCTCACCCTTCTCCTAATAGCCAAGGAAAACAATTGATCACCATACACTCTATAACCTTTTATGTACTATTGTATTTGCCCAAATCCAAGACATGGGTTCCCCCACCAATCAACATGGGGAAAAAAAGGCTCATCTTAGATTTGAGTACTGGCCTAAGACAGGTGGCATCTCAGATCCGGCTTTAGGGCCAAAGTCAGAGCAGAGTTTCTGCCCGCCCTGGGCCAGGGTAAACCATGTAGTGGGGGTGGAGGGGTGAGTGGGGAAGACTGCAGTGGGAAGGAGCATAGGGAAGACTGAGCAGCCTGCCAACCTTCACTGCCTTCCTCTCCCTCCTCTCCATGCCACTTACTTTCAGCTCCAGCTCAGCCCCTGCCCAACTGCCACCAGTTCTGCCTGGCTAGGCTGAGGCCAGGGCAACCACCACTGCTGACTGCTCATTGTCGCAGTGGTCCAGAAAGTAAACAGCAGGGGGAGGACTGCAGAGCAAGCAGACAACAAAAGGCCAAGCACAGGCTTTGGGGGGTGGGGGGCAGGCACCAGGGAGAGGCAGCCACAGAGGGACAAAAGAAGCAGGGGGGAAGGCAGCAGCATGGCAGACAGGGATCTAGGCCCTTGCCCCCTGCCCTCCACTGCTGCTTTCCTCATTCCAGTTGTAAGGGGGATGAATTTAAGATTGTGCAGGCCGGGAGCGGTCCGGGCCCTTTTTCGCGCCGCGCGGGCTGTGGCCAGCAGCCCGGGCACGCTGGGTCGGAGAGAACAGGCGACACGCTGGAATTAGGCACGGACGCGTAATGGTTGATTCAAGATTGTTTACTTACACCGAAGATGGTCGCGGTGTAGGCTGGACAGTTTCCCAGGCACAGCTCCACTTAAATCCTCGTTTGAGGACTCAGACAACACTCGGATCACTCCCACGGAGTTGTCGAGGCTCCGTGGATCCTTTTGCGCGCAGGGAGAGGGATATGTCAAGAATTGCGCTCGGTGACGGGGAGAGGCTAGAGGCTGATCAGACCCCTGTTGCCTGCTTGAAATGCACTGGGTCCAATAGGCTCCGCAGCGCTTAGAGATCTTCACACAGCATGAAGTCTCCTCCTCCTGGTGTTCGTGGAGTCCTCCAACTTGGGCGGAAACCACTCAAGCCTTTTATACGGCTAGCAAGCCAATTGCTAGCCGCCACGTGTGAATAATTTCACGCAAACCAATAATGGGGGTCGAATTTGAATACAAATGGTAGGAACTCTTTGCAACGAGCATTTCTGTGCTGCAACAAAGAAATGCACCCTGCAAAGAAAGCTACAAATTGGCGGGAATTCTTTTGCACCGGGGTTTTCCTCTGCAGCAGAAAACTCCACAGTGCAAAGAAGCTGCAATTTAGCAGGAACATAATTCAGTGGTGCCAAAGCACACACAAAACAAAAATCACACCTTTGGGTTGTGACAAAGATGACCCTCCAGTAATCAGAGATTCTATACATGGAAAATTATAATTCTAATATAAAGGGCTTAGTCTGTCTATATCTGTCTCTGCATATGTCCATAACACTTTTGGTCAACTGTGCAGGCACTGCTGAGAGGCAGGGTGACAATTGGCTGCATGGGCCCAGGCAGGGAGGAGGCAGAGGTGGTTGGCACACATCCAACAGCTGGCAGGGAGGGAGGAAAGGCAGGGGGAAGCCCCACTGCTCAGTGGAGGAGCCGGAAGCAGAGGCGGGCAGGGGGTGGAGGCAGGCACGCACGCACCCACCCAACAGCCAGCAGGGAAGGGGAGGTGGTAGGGACAGGAGGCAGGGAAGGCCCTGCTCTTCAGGGGAGGAGGACGAGGTGGGTAAGGGGAGGGAGCCCCTGTGCCGGTGGCTGGAGGTGGCAGCGGTGGTGCAGGGAGTGTTTATATGGCCAGCCCTGAAGGGTGAGTGGGGGGCGGACGGCCATGTAAAACACTCCTTTATTTTAAATCCATCATTTATGATAGGCAATGCGGGGGAGGGAATCAAACTAGTTTTGAAATAGTGTTCAAATGTGACAAAGAATAGGTTGAGAGGGATATAGACACTGCTGATGAGAAGTCAGAATTAATTCTAGGGGAAAAAATTCTATCATGTAGATCCCAGAACAGACATGGGCAAAACGCAGCCCACATGCAGCCCACCAGGCCATTCTATCTGGCCCACGGGGCCCCTAAAAAATTTAGAAAATTAATATTTATCTGCCCCAGGCTGCCTGTCATGCAGCCCTCGATGGTTTACCAAAACTCAGTAAGCGGCCCTCCACCCAAAATAATTGCCCACCCCATCCTAGAATATGTTATTAATGTTGTACAAATTCTAGAAAATATTCAGTTCTCACAGGCTTAGAAGATAAGAAATCTTTAAGTACAACAGAACATTCTTGATACATAGCTACCACAATACACCCTAGTGAAATTGTTTTCTAGGGGACGTTGTTTTGTTTTGGTTTCTTTTAATCTCTACTGTTTCTTCCTGAGAAATGCAATGTAGCCTTAAAGAGTATGTATATTCTTCAGGGTGATAATGTGAATTTAACCAACAAAACTGGCTTCAGAGAAATTAATCTGCTTCTCCTTTGTTGCTATGCAGCCAGACTCAGGTGGTGTTAACAAGGAGGAACAGGAGCTGCACAACAATCGGCCTTTGGAAAAACAAAACCAGGGTTAAGTCAAGAGCTATTATCTTTCCTGCTAGTTAGTGAAAGAAGTGAAAAACAAAACGTTGTTTTGATTTAATCAGCAGCATGTTCTTTATACCTTGATCTGCTCATTTTCCTCAGCATGGAATAAAAGCTCAGAGATTTTAACAATATTTTCAGAGTAAGATGATCAATGCTGTCAACCTCAAACTTTCAAGTTCCTTGCTTCTGGTTTCTGAGCCTCTAAGATGTTTGCTTCAGGCTTTCATAGCTTTCTTTGCAACTGCAAGGAAAAGATATTTCTTCTTATAAAATGAAAACTAAAATCATCGATCACCTGACTCCTATAGCCAAGGCTTTGCGGAAAGAAAATACGGAATATACTAAAGCCATATACAGATGTTCAATTTCTCCTGGGAGAGAGTCTCTGCTACTCTAGTAGATACCATGAGTTCAGGATTTTTCCTCCCAGAGCAAAAATGGCCATTCCAGAAGAAAAGTTACCTGGAAACAACTAGGGTTAAATGGCTCCTGCAAAAGTTTCTCCTGGGACAGTGAATGTCTGTATGTTTCCTTCTGAGAGAACCATATCAGAGTCCTCCAACATCCCAATGTGCTTTGTTTCCACCCCTCTGGGCAGTGCATCACTCAGGCTGGACTCTACTACTCCAGCCTATCAGGGAGCAGACCACACCCCCTTCACAATCCCCACATTGTGTTGCAAAGATACACAAGCTGACCCCAAGCAACCTGGCTTATGCAATCAGTGGTCCCCAGATACGTTTTTTTTATTTTAAAGCCAGGAAAAACACCTAGGAGAATTCTCGCAGATCATTTGAACATGTGTATATACACAGATTAAAACACATTTTGAATTGCTGAGCGTGTAAAACTATAATTTAGTGAATTTATACCTACTTGCTGTTCTTTAAAAACATTACTTGCTCTCATGTTCTACTCATTCCTCCTCCTGAGCCTCTTCCCCGCCTCCCACCCAACCCCAAGAATTACCACTTCTTTAAAATTAGTTAAGGGCAGCCAACTTACTGTATATACAAAAATGAGTAAAATGCAAGTCTCATGTAATGTTTTAAATTAAGTAGATTTGTATATTCAATCATGTTTTTAGAAGAAATGTATCTTAATGCATTTAAAGTTTGCCTGTGTAGGTATGTATGTAGCTTTGTGACACAGCTTGGCACAACTGAAAAATCATGTTGGTACTTGAAGAAACAACCACCCAGAAAGCAGCAGTAAATGATGGCATGGACTGCCAGGCAGGTGGTTTACCCTTCCCTGCCTGTTCCCTCAAGACAGCACTGGCAGCTACAAGTAAGCTGGGGGACATGGGTGGGGGAGAGAGGATCTGGGTGCCGGAGGAACGGGGGTACACCAGGCCCAAATCTGGAGAAGAGGCAGCTGGTAGGGGACAGCACCAGAGGATGGTGGGCCTGATGTGGGCTGGCAGGTGAGCGTTGGGGGTGGCAGCCTGCTTTGGGGAAAAAGGGGGCATCAGACCCAACCTAGGCCAGTGGGGCAGGTGTTACACTAACCTGTAGCCACAAATTAAATGTGTAACGAAGCCCTCAGAGTATCATGGAGGAAGTAGGCTTTTGTTTCCTGTAGCAACAAGTACTTAGCTCAGAGAGCAGCTGCTCCAGCAGTGTAGACAGGCAAGTTCTCCTTCCCTACCTGCTCCCCTTGGGAGCAAACCAGGGGACAGAAGGAATGCGTGAGTCATGAGAGCTTGGGGAAGCGCACAGAATGGGAGGGGAGGGGATTCTTACCTTTCAGTTTTCAAGGCCCTGCTCACTTAAAAATGCAACTGCTCTATACTTGAACTAATGCTAATTACCACTTAGGTTTCTCTAAGTGTAGAGTGTAACAAGGCCCTAATATTTTAGGACATTTGATAGAAGTGTTCTGGAGGTATTTCTTCAACAAGTTCATAGGTTAACATGTTTAACATAAGGTAAAAACAGGATCAATAAAGGAATCTGCCAAGTTCTAAAGGAATGGTTATTTATTCTATCTTTATGAAAGATGCCATTCCCCACATTACCACAAGCATAGCCAATAGACCTGTGCAAAGCAGAAAGTATTCGCTTTGGATTTGGCAATTCGGAGGGACAGTGATTCGATTCGGCGATTCAAATAACTGTCCCGATTCGATCTGGCTGAATCTGAAGATACTCAGTGCCGAATCTTGTTTGGCCATAGACTATACAGGCAGGCAGTGCTGGCAAGAGCACCTGGGGGAGCCCTGGTTTGAGCCAGCAGCCCCAGGAGAAGCCGCAGCTCATCCAGCTGCTCCCCACACCAGGGAGAGGCAGGCAGTGCTGGCAGCCCCGGGAGAAGCCATGGGAACTGGGGGGAATGACTAGGAGTTGGGGGGGGGGGCGCGGAATGGGACGACACCTATGTTCGTTTCCCCAGCCCCCCAATCATTCCCCGCAGCTCCCAATTCAATCCTCCAGCTCCTCCCAGGGCTACCAGCGCTGCCTGCCTTGCCCCAGCAGGGTGGCAGTCAGGGGAGCCACAGCTTCTCCCAGGGTTGCCAGCTCAAGCCGGGGTTCATCTGGCTGCTCCTGCCAGCCCTGCCTAGTGCCTGCCTGTACAGTCTATGGCCAAACCTCCAAATCTCTCCAGAGGCTTCCAATTTGATTCAGAGAGATTAATGGGTCTCCTGATTTGATTCAGATTCTGAGATTCAGCTGCCAAAAGTCAGGCTGAATCTCCTCTTAATCGAATCAGCTACTGAAGATTCGCATAGCCCTAATAGCTAATTCAATTGAAAAAATACTCATTGACAGACTATTCATGGAATCTTTTCTATATTGTTTGCAGACAGCAAGGCTTTTCAGTTATTGTTCTGAACATGGGATTTTGTACCAGGCTCTATGCCCATGCCTCAACTCCTATGTTGTCATTTAGTTAGCCTGTCTGAGAAGGACTTCAAATGGTTCATCTTCCAAGCTCACCTTATTTGCTATACTGAGGGCATGCCTACGAGACATTTACTTCATGTAAAGGAACAATGGTCATAAGCTGATGGAGAATAGGTTTAGGTTGGAGATCAGAATGCAATATTTTACAGTTAGGGTGGCCAAAATCAGGAACCAACTTCCCAGGGAAGTGGTCCTCGCCCCTACCTTGGGCAAATTCAAGAGGAGGTTGGACGATCACCTGTCTGGGGTCTTGTGAACCCAGCATTCATTCCTGTCTGGGGTCTTGTGAACCCAGCATTTATTCCTGCTTGTGGCAGGGGGGTCAGGCTAGATGATCTGTTCAGGTCCCTCCTGACCCTAGCTACTATGAAACTATGACTAAGTGCACAGTAAACATCTCAGTATCTACAAGTGAGCCCTTGTTAGGAAACTAATGAACTCCACAGCAGGGTAGTACTTGTAAATAAATTCTAACTACTTCTCGTGTTCAGCAGTACATGTGTAGATGCTGAGCTGACTGGCTGGGCACAAGGGTGCTTCAGTGCAGGGTTCTGCCTGGTGGCCAGCCTCACACTGAAGCACCCTCATGCACCAGCCAGCCCCCCTGCAGCACATCAAGTCTGGTCACAGCAGCCGCAAGCTGACAGGCTGACCCCTTCCACCCCACTTCTTCTCTGGGTCTCCTGCCAGAACAGGCTGCTCCGACCCAGCTCAATGTATACTGTGGTCCAGGTGCGCAGAACCAGCAAACCCGGAAACAATAAACTGTGGAACAATAAGCTCCATAAGGCACATGAATAAACTAATGGTACGTGTAGACAAGATCTAGTTAATGGCACATGTAATTAGGCTCAAGATCAACTAGAGAGTCAACATACACTTCTGGCCCTACTGCTTTGCCACAAGCTCTGAGGAATATTTACAGACTCAGGAATTGGTGCATATTTTTACACAAAAAGTATCTAAATGTTTAACGTGTTGGCAACCCAGCTTTCATTTTCTAAGTTATCTTCGCAGTCCCAAAGGCTGGAAACGTTTTTGCTAAATAAAATTAGGACTGTTGAGCACAATTCTATGGCAAAGACAGAATTTTGTGAAAATATATGGCCACCAAATAGATGCAGGGCGGTGCAGAAGTAATATCCTATTGGATAATCCTCTATTTTCTTTCAAAATAAGCATTTTAGATTCTATGGGTGTCTTGCACTCATCTGGAGAATTCTTCATATGCTGCTACTTAACTTGACAGGGAAAAAAAACAAAATAGACCCTGTAAAAAACAGGTATTTCTCTCAACTGTCTAGCATCAATATTTTATTTTGACTGGGGTGGGATGGGTGGGTGGAAATCAATTCATCTTTTTCTATCATTGCTTATATGGGTTAACTCCTAAGCCATCTAGAATTTATAAAAATTCTTCAAGCCACAACAGATGAGTCATAATTTATTCTGACGTACAAAATAGAAGCTATACGCTGCAGACTCTCCAATGGGCAGCCTCTCTCCCAGTTTCCTAAAAAACAAAGGCAAATAAATCAATCACCAGGAGACTTATTTAATAAATGTTATTAAATGTTTTGGTACATGTAATAGTACTCCACTGTCCCATCAGAAGGGAGTGTAAGAAAGGGGACCCAAGAGTCTTTACAACAAAAGATCAAGTGTGATTTTATTATTATTTTTTTAGAATTAAAACTTCTCTCTCCAGTACTCCTATAAAATTAATTTAGCAGGAGATAGCACTGTATTTAAGTATACAATGAGTCTACCACAACAGGATTTTTTCTGTAATTTTCATTTTCCTTCTTGTTATGAGACTGACTGCTTCATGTGAAGCCAGCAAACAGCAGAGCTCAGTCTTTGACTAGAAGACACCAGAGATGATTGCTGATTAAGAACGTCATTTCATTTCAAGAGGGCTCTTTAATGATTTGAGAACAGAGGCTACCAGAAAGCAAAAGTTGCATTACTCGAAAAAAGAATGAAAACTATTTTAGAGTCCAAGAGGAATACCCTGAAGTCAGTGCAAATAACATCATACAAAACACAAATGAACAACCATGGATTCATTCTTCATGACAGCCTAGTTACCCTGAATAGGTAGAGTAATATTAAATTATGAAATTGAAGACATACCAGTACCTCAGAAATCCGGGAAGATAAGGAAATTTGAGAACTGCCCTTAAAATGCCACCGACAAAGTGATAGAAAGTGCTAAAGGAATTTATTTCTCAAAAGGTATGTACAAAATGTATACAAGTGTGCAATTAAAATATCCAAACTCCCACAGACCCCACATGCCTGATGCACACAAGACTTCACTGCTACAGAAGTCCTGCCTGAAATGCCTGAGCAATTTAGTTCAAGCTATAATAGCCATCCCATCAGTTTAATCTGCCAGCACAATCAATTCTGCTATTCCTTCTAATATATCTTTGCCCCTCTCTTCGCCATTAGTCTGCCTCCACCTCTACATATGAAGTAGGTGTCATCCTCTCCTCCCCTCCCCCATTCTTCCCTTGGGATTACTGCTTGGTTCCCTGCTTGTCTAGATTATCCTGCTCCATTTACAACTTTAGGTAGTCAGTAGTTTGTGGTTCCACACTTGCTAGCAGCTAGAGCTGTGCAAAGAAAGCCTCAGTTGCTGATTTGATTCAAAGGAGATTCAGCCTGATTTGGCAGCCGAATCAGCAAGTCAAATTGGGAGACCAATTAAAAGGTCCAAATTGATCTGAAGCCTCCGAATAGATTCAGAGAAGATACGGAGATTTGGAGAGTCTGTGCTCCCCACCACAGGGAGCTGGACCTGGGCTCTGTGCCAGTAAGTAGGGGCCAGGGGGGAGGCTGAAGGAGGGGAGATGGGACCATGAAGGGACCCCGCCAGGCCCCATCTCCTGCCTGCTCCCCCAGGCTCCCTGAGCACCCCCCCAACCCCATCAATGGCTGCCCTGCCTGGTCCCAGCATCCTGGCACTTAAAAAAAAAATTAAGAGCCCCACACTCACTGGCTACTGCAGTAGATGTTGGGGCCTCTGGGGGGCTCATGGCAGAGCACCCCCATGCAGTGCAGGGAAGTGGGGATTGCTGCACCTCCCACCCCCACCTGGCAAGGAGCTGACTTCAAAAAAAAGTGCCAGGATGCTGGGGCTGGGACAATAGGTGGGGGATGGGGCCTGTTCAATTCGGAGATTTGGCCAATTCTGCCATGGCTGAATCCTCTGAGTCAGATTCAGCTGAATCAATTCTCCAGCTCGAATCACTGTCCCTCAAGTCAGCTGAATCTGAAGTGAATACTAGCTGCTTTGCACAGGCCTACTAGCAGCTCCAGTCTTGTTACTGGCTGCAGTCTTTAAAGGTCATCCTTTCTGCCTTGGCTGCAGGAACAGTAGCAGTTATTAGAGGCAGTCTGTTTTTATATGCTCCAAGAGGTGGCCAACATCTTTACAACGAAGAGATTACTAGCAGTCACAAGAAAATGGAAACAAAATGAACTAACACCACAGAAGTTAACAAATCCTGGCAAGCGCCCCACAGAACTATTGCTAAGTTGCTCCTTTATTATAATGTTTTAGCATTGAATGTGGTGCAAAGTAAACACTATTCTTTCATGATTGTAAAGGTATTCCTTTTTCACCATGCCTTTGCAATAAACACCACATTTGCTGGTCTGCTTACTAGCTAATTCTTTACTGAATACAAGAGCTAAACCAGGAGCACTAGATTGGACTGCTATTGCCAACGATTACATCAGTCTTTTTTCCACTGCTCTTACTTTCTTCCAGGTTTCCACTGCCATTGTATTCAAATAGTATTTACAACTACTATAATGTACTTGATATAGCTCTGTACAAACCTGTGAGTACAGATTTCCTAGAAAAGTTTTGCACATGAAAAATTAACTATTTTTTAAATTTTTCCTGTGACCTATTTTCTAACTTTCATAAGTCAAATTTACTTTTCCTGCACTACCAGGTGGATTTCTTGAAAAGATTCAATTTCAGTAGGTAACAGTTTGTATATGCAGTTTATATTTACACACTTAATTGAAAGTTAAATAGCTGAAAAAGTTATAGAATGGCAAGTAACAAGATGGCAATAGAGACTCCCATGCAATCATGATTCCTACATAAAATGAGAATGCCGAGTTTAACATTTGACTAGCAATAATGAGCATAGGAATTGGACATGGTTCCAGATTTTAAGTCAGATTTCTAGAAACTGTATATAACCCTTTAATGTCAGCGAGCCACAAGTTGACAATGTAGTTTTATCTTTAGAGGAGAAACTAGCTGAAATTTTCTAACTTAGCGGAATTTTAAACCAAAGGAATTAAAACAGTAGTTACTTATTTATAGACTTCAGGGCAGCATGTCCAGTAACACCTCAAAGAAAATAGCAAACCACAATATAAACCATGTAACATTGAGACTTTTAAAAAAAGTTTTACTTAGAAGAAATCACTAAGAATGAGGAAGGGGGAGAAAAGGCGAAACAAAAAGGATGGAAGACCTATAAAATGGAAAAGAGGTTCCAATAATATTGACTAAAGAGAGCTATAATCCAGGATCTCAGTACAAATGCAAATCTGGTTTTGGAAGAAATCTCAAGCCACATGAGGAAACATATTAAAGTATTAAGTAAAGAGAATGAGACTTACAGTCTCTACAGACAAATATGGAAGCAATTATCTCTCAGAAGAAAATGATGCCCTATCAAAACATCAACAGAAGCAGGGAAGATGTCACAGATCAACTTGTGAACCACTTCCCTCCTGATCTTCCATTAAATCTGCATACTGTTCCAACATCAATTATCATAACTGCATGTTTCATCTGAATTGTGTACATTTAACATTAAATGCAAGAATGCTGACTTGCACATTTACCTTTAAAAAAAAAAAAAAGAAAGAAAAAAGGGGACAATCCACTAATTTTTTCTGCTCATTTCATGGCCTTCTCCCTCTGTTTTGTTCCTTGCCCAAATGTCTTCAATTCAAAACTCATTCTCTCCACAAAGTAACTGTCAATCCCTACACACGTGCAGTTTCCTCCTCCAAGCATGTTCACAATCAATATACACACGTTAAAAGACACCCTCTGCCCAGCTCTTGTCCCTGAGCTCTTCCAGCCACCTTTCCCTTTCATGCCTATTAAGCCATGAGGAGCTCCATTTGTGCTGAAGAACCCAAACCAGCAACACAGAAAAGCTTCTCCTACTGGCCATCTGCTGTGACTGCAGGCATCTGTAAATTTCAAACAAAATGCTTGAAGAGTAGCCTACTGCCTACTTAGCCAGAACTGCATTTTAAAGAATGACTTCGGTCTTTTACAGTTTGTGTTTTCCATTTCTATTTAATTTAAACAATCAAAACAAAGTGTGCAACTTCAGGCTGACCCTGGGGTTATGGGATACAAAAAACCTAAAACAAACAACCAAACCACTCAACAAAAAAACCAAGACAGTTTTTTTAATATCATTCACATTTTCACTTAGCTTATACTGATAGTTATCTGTTATTGCAAAACAATGCAATTAAATTCTACAAAATCATACAGGAATTTTACAGCAGACTGGGGGGTTTTTTTGCAACTGGCAAGAGTTGTCTGCCTCTCCACTATTTTAATAAATCAATGCTTAAAATATTTTACTATTATTTGACAACATTTGATTTGACCATATCTGACCAGTCAATTGACTATTTTTTGAATGGTCAATCACATAACCTAAATTTTGTACGTGCGCCAAACCCCAGTCAGGTTTGCACACAATTAATTCAAGAGGGTGTACAATATGCAAATTTCCAGTTACAGCAACTAAAACCAACCAAGTTTTTAAATGCTTCTCAGAGCACCAGAGTTATTCAGGGTCTGCCCCGATACCATGTTTTAAGTACTGGCATTTTTTAAAACAACATTTACATATGTAGACATAGGATATCACAGAAAATGAATATTCAAATGATGTCAAATTTCAAAGATTTTCTATTTGAATTTTATGAAGAAAACCAAACAAAAGCTGCATTGATAATGTAAAGGCATTAAACAAACATTGTAAAATATTCACACTATTGACACCTTTAGAAAAAATGCAAAAAACAGTGTCCCAATTTTAAACAGTAACTCCACAAGTAGGTTTTTAACAGACACCCTCATAATACCTGTTACATTTTTCATACCATCTTCAATTAACCCACTTTTGTACCCATGTACGTTAAAACAATATACTTCATTAGGCAAAAGCATTGTCCTATCTGCCTGTAAAGCAATGTACTACATTACATCTTCACACACAAAACATGCTTCCCCCCTCCTAAACCAGAAAGGAGAAACTGGGTTGTACATGATATGCAAGAAATATAGATCTCCAGGGGTCCTAAAATTTGGTGGTGGGGGGAACCACAATGATTAATGATACTACCACTTACCTTCTGCCAAATTTCTGGATCCTTGGGGAGCATCCCTCTGCTGAAACCGGGTTGCTGCATGGCGTCAGTCCACGACCAGAGCTGACAGCCTT